TACTATACAACTGTATCGTAGTTAATATATAGAACTCAGAGTTCTATTTTCGGTATTTTCGGATGTCCGTTTTGCTAAAAATATATTTAAAGAGTACAGCCGCACGGCTATAAGCCAATAGTAAAAAAAATAATTTAAACCCTATGGCCGCGCGGCTATACTCCAGAAAAAATATATATATATTTAACGCGTACAGCCGGGCGGCTATACTCGTTAAATAAAACAAATATTTTAAATAGTGTAGCCGAGCGGCTATACTACTTAAATAAAAAATATATTTTAAATATTATAGCCCCGCGGCTATACTCCTAAAATGAAAACATATATTTAAAGCATATAGACGCACGGCCATACGTCTTTAATAAAAAAAAATAAGCTTCTATACGCCTTAAATAAAATATATATATTTAAAGAGTATTCCCGCGTGGCTATACTTCTTAAATACAAAAAATAAATCTAACTCGTATAGCCGCTATACGCTTGCAATAAAAAAAAATATTTACAGCGTATAGCCGTGCGGCTATACCGTTAAAATATACAGAAATTCTCTTATGCGGACATCCGGACGTTATTATCGTGCGGACGCAGTGTATTTTGTACTACCCCTCTTTGTTTTCCTGCCTGTTTACAATAGGATCCGCACGATAATAACGTGTGGACATCCGGATAAGAGAATAACCGTATATATATATATATATATTATTTCAAGAGTATAGCCGCTCGGCTATACATTTCCACCGCCACCTCCAGAGCTCAACAGCTCCGAAGAATCAAGCTCTCCTCTGCCCCCACCCACCTCCTCTGTCACTGCTCAACAGCCCCAATTCCTTTGGTAACTACTAATTGCAATAAATTTTCTCTCTATTTTTGCCTTGTTTTGGTATGGTTGTCTAAGAAATTCACCGATTATTGCTAAAGCCCTCCAACTTACTACTACCCCAATGATGAAGGAGACAGACACTCCGGTAATGATCATTAACTATAAAATGAGCAAAAGGCAAAGTTAGGTATAAAGATTGTTGCCAGTTAGCTTCAAGGATTGCATTTCTGGTTACATGTTTACCTGGTTTATAGCAGTTTAGTCTTCCTCGAAGATTTTTAGGTGCAATTTCAGCTATGAAAACAGGTACCTTAACATCCGCCTAATATTGCATTAAACTTGGTTAATAACATATGTTAAAACTTGAAATAGCATCTATAAGTATTTTGGTCTCAAAAAAATACTTAAAGAAGGCACATTTCGTGGCCAGCCATTTACCTCCATTGGGAGAGCTCCCGCGACAAAAGGGATTAGTCACTGCTGTCGGCGGTGGATACCCTTGGGTCTCACCTAAAAAAAAATACTTAAAGAGGGTGAATTTGGTGCGTACGAAAGCTTTTAAGTGTTTTCAGATATATTGTTTGTTTTGCTGGCAAAAGGTCTGGTACAAATTGCAATACCTTGTCCCAGTCCACCTTAGCCCTATGAATGCTGTAATTCTTATGATGTTCAAGGTCAATTGTATTACTATAACCTCTTTGATCCTTTTACAACTCGTTACTCACTCACAATATCCAGAAGGTTACATCTTTTGACTTTCACTGTCAGCGGTCAACAAAAAGATATGCTCTGACTTTGTTAATCTTTTTCTTTTCTTTCGTCTATAAAAAAAGTTATCTTCGCAACATAATTAGATCGAGAATGAAGTATATACGTATATGATTCTCTAATTTAAAAAATTAGTCAATTAATTAATTATCGACCGCCGCATTTGATTATCATTTCAAAGTCAGCTACAACAATAGATAGAATTCCTTATAATAATTAAAAATTAAGTTGGATATGGAAGAACAATTCTTTGGCAATGCAAGCAAGCATCCCTCTCTACTCTAACTTGTTTCAAGATCCATACCAGTCAAAAATTATAAGATATATATGATTTAAATGATTGAGATTACTTCGTTCAATCATAAAGATACATGATAATTCATTCACTCACGTTTTTTGAGACTACTCTGAACAAGTTACTTCTCAAAATTCTGCAATCTTTCTCGAGTAATTCTTTTCTCAATGTTAAAAGTGATAATCTCCCATTTGGATTCAAAATTCAATCACATAGATGAGTGATGATGAGATGTATTAGAAGTCAATTAATGTCGACGAAACTCACAAGGTCACCTTGCCTCCTTGATTGAACTACTAGATGCATAGAAACCACGCAGAAAACACTGACATTAAGGCTTTTCGGTGCCTTATCCACCTCGCATCTGTATATCTAATCTACATTTAGGGTGACAATGACCAGTCTCATTTTCACGCATTGATTTATACATATATAAAATTGTTTCTTCGTTTTTAATTAAACACCACCGTGACATATATGCATACATATCAACATTTATCATCAACAACTATAAATAGACCTTTCCCCTCAACTCAACCATCCAACCATAACCATGGCTTCCTCTACTCAATGTTGCCTCTTCTTCTCTATCTCTACCCTTCTCCTCCTCTTCTTCAATGCCTCTCCCGTTTTGGCTCAGCAGTCTTTCAGGCCCAAAGCCCTCGTCATCCCAGTCTCAAAAGACGCTTCTACCCTCCAATACACCACACATATTACCCAAAGGACCCCTCTCGTGCCCATAGACCTTGTCCTTGATCTCGGTGGCCAGTTCTTATGGGTCGACTGCGAACAAAACTACGTGTCCTCCACATACCGCCCAGCTCGTTGCCGCTCAGCTCAATGCTCACTCGCACGAGCCAGCGGCTGCGGCGATTGCTTCTCGTCCCCCAAACCTGGCTGCAACAACAACACGTGCGGCCTCACACCCGACAACACCGTCACGCGCACGGCCACAGGCGGTGAACTCGCCTACGACGTCGTCTCGGTCCAGTCAACCAACGGGTTCAACCCCGGCCGAAACGTCAGCGTTTCGCAGTTCCTCTTCACTTGCGCGCCAACGTTCCTATTAGAAGGCCTCGCCGCTGGTGTATCGGGGATGGCTGGTCTCGGCCGCACCAGAATATCTCTCCCTTCCCAATTCGCATCCGCCTTCAGCTTCGACAGGAAATTCGCCATCTGCTTGTCGTCCTCCGTGTCATCAAACGGCGTCGTGTTCTTCGGCGACGGCCCGTACGTCATGCTCCCAAACGTTGACGTTTCAGAGTCATTAATCTACACCCCGCTCTTCATAAATCCAGTCAGCACGGCCTCAGCCTTCTCCCAAGGGGAAGCCTCGTCCGAATACTTCATCAAAGTGAACTCCATCAAGGTCAACGAGAAACCCGTCGCTGTCAACACGACACTGCTGTCGATCGACCGCGACGGCGTGGGTGGGACCAAGATCAGCACCGTCAACTCCTACACGGTCCTCGAGGCCTCCATTTTCAAAGCCGTAACCGAGGCTTTTATCAGCGAGTCTAAATCCATGAACATTACCAGAGTGTCCTCTGTGAGCCCCTTCGAGGTGTGCTTCAGCCGGGACAACGTGCTGAGCACACGTGTGGGGCCGGCCGTGCCGAGCATTGACCTTGTGCTGCAGAACGAGAGCACGTTCTGGAGGGTGTTCGGGGCCAACTCGATGGTGCAAGTGAACGACGACGTTCTGTGCCTTGCGGTTGTGAATGGGGGTGAGAGCCCAAGGACTTCGATCGTGATCGGAGGGTACCAGTTGGAGAACAATCTGCTGCAGTTCGATTTGGCCACGTCAAGGCTGGGCTTCAGCTCCTCGCTTCTGTTTAGGCAAACCACATGCTCCAACTTCAACTTCACCTCCACCAATTAATTATCAAGTTAATTAAATGATGATCTTATTATACACTTCATATATTGAATAATTCACACAGTGTTAATAAGTGGCCAATAGGATGTTGGCTGGCCGCAACTTTTTTGTTGTTGTTGATTTTATGATGTTATATTTACAAGAACACGCTTCTATAATTTCAAATTTGGTTAATGAGTTTTATTATAAATTTGGTGTGCTTAATAATTTTTTGAATTTTTATTATAAATTAAAAGGTTTTTTTTTTTTTAAGACATAATGACAATATCCAAAAATATAATGTGATGTGTTTCTTTAATGTTTAAACTATAATCTAAATTATCCTAATTTATTGAAAATGGATTTTTTTTTTTTTTTTAAAAGAGCTTTCTTATTGAGAGGGACGTTATTATACTAAATTAATGTTAGGACTTGAATCCAATGAGCTTTCCTGGTAGAGAAATTGTTCCAAACCACTACACTAGTGGGTTCTTTGCATTGAAAAAGGAATTAAACGACCAATAATAAACGAATTAGAATATGCATCATATATAGTAAATACTCATGATCATTGATCCCCAAGCTAAAACATTGACAAGGTGTAGGAAAAAAAAACTGAAATATGGTCTTAATTATGGATAATCTTTCTAAACATAGAGTTAATAATAGGAAAAAGCTTCTCATGTTACAATTAATAAACTGAAATTAAGCTAGAAACTAAAAATTAAGTGCTACAGCACTTGACGGTGTTGGGGGGATCAAAACAAGTTAATTAGGCACATTTGTATAGTTGTTGTAATCATTGATCATCTGAGATTGCAAAGGCTGAGGAGGCCACAACAATGCCTCATTAAGTGGAGATATCATTGATGTGTTTCTTCCTTTCAGCATGTCGACCCAGCAGCTTGAGCTTGCAGAACAATAAGACCCCAATGGAGCAGGGTTATAATTATAAGTATCGACCCCACCAAAATTCTCCGATTTAACTAATTCAAAGTCTCCATTATTGTAGCCAGCCTCCAAATTAGCATTACCACAAATATCATTAGTGTCAAATTCATAACGAAATTCGATATTATCGTCGTAAAAATTACCTCCGGATATCGGCAAAGTTGGGCCGTCGTTGTTGTAATTAGAACTCTTTGGTTCCAACAATTCTGCCTTGCTCTCTTCACCATATATATATGGCTGAATAGTTTCTGTTTTTCTTCCCTCGACAGAAGAATTAATATTCTCTTCCCAAGTTTGTATATTGGTCTTCAAAGCCTTTTAGTTTCTGTTTTTCTTCCCTCGACAGAAGAATTAATATTCTCTTCCAAAGTTTGTATATTGGTCTTCAAAGCCTTTATAATCTTACCAAGCTTCAGGTTCTCTTTCTCATCAAAACCCTTCTTTTTTCCTTTGCGCTTCTTTTTCAAGTTACTTCCCAACAAATCCGAAATCCTGACCACTTTCTTTCTTCCACCTGACGACGATCTGGTTTTCTTACGTTCTCGGAACTCCGTGATGATTTCTCTGGCCTTGGCCGGTTCCTTTGGCCACAACGAAAAATTGCCACCATTCGGATTGTAACAAACAATGCAAACCCTCGCATGGAGTTCTTCAAGCCTCTCTGCTTTCCTGTGCAATGTCGCGTGCCTCTTCGCGCCCGGCATTGCTCCTCCTTGAGAAGTTGCTTCTGTAGACGGACTACTTTCGCACCGTTTGCGTTTGCCGTCCTCACTTTTTCTGGCCATTGAATCCGCCATTCAAGAACCAGAAGAAGAAAAAAACACACACACACAGAGGTTGGCGGACAACACACAATATTGGCTAGTAGGAAGAGAAATTAATTGAGAAGGAAAAGCTTGCAACAAAAACCATAGAGGGTTCATGGTAATATATAGGAAGCTAGAGAGCTTCGGTTTCTCTGGTGAATCTTGGAAAACAAAATCTGTCTATGATTTTCCTGATGGCAGTGGGTCAATATGATGTACGGAGCAAAGCTTTGTCGTCTTCAGGAAACAGAGCAAATAAAATATTGATTTCTTGAGCTCCAGAAAGGAAAGAAATCTGGAATACAACGTCACTAGCTTTTGTCTTTAGTCCACGTCACCAAGTTTGAGTGTCACTCAAGTAGGAAAGTATTAGTGTTGGCGCCAATGGGTTCCCACCACAGTGGTGGTGGATTCCCCCTTCCCCCCATGGCACCCAGGATCGAACCCCAGTGGGGTTTCTGTGGCGGTAATCCTCTCACTTGTTTATTGCGGTTATTGCTTCATTAATTGCTTAAGCCGGCTGTGGTTCTTTCCTTTTTCTTTTTCTTTTTTTTTTTTATGGAAAAATAATCTATATTTGAAATTTAGGGTTAATCGTTTTATTAGTCCTTGAACTTAGACCAGATTTGCATTTGAGTCCCTCAATTTCCAAAATGGTTTCCGTGGTCCGTCAACTTCAGTTTCGTTTGCCGTCAATTTTGTTAACTTTTCTATTAAATACATGGGCAAAATGGTATTTTTGTATCAATATTAATTAAAATATGAATAAAAAATTAAAATTAAACTCTCTCTCTCAACTTCTATCCAAATTTCTACTTCCCCAAACTTGATTTGTTTTTTTTGGTTGGTTTTTTATTTGATTTTCTTTTATTGTTATTTTAAAGATATGATTTTTTATTCATTTTTTTGGTTTTAACATAAAAATACCATTTTGCCCATGCATTTAACAGAAAAAATTAACAAAATTGACGGCAGGACCATTTGTCCTAACGAAAGTGAAGTTAAAGAATCATAGGAATCATTTTGGAAATTGAGGGACTCAAATGCAAATCGGGTCTAAGTTCAGGGACTAATAAAACGATTAACCCTTGAAATTTATTTTGGTCAAACTCATTAAACCAATATAAAATCAAATGCAAAAAATATATATATTAGTTAGACCGAATTCTAACAAGTAAATTCGTCATAGATATAATCGTGTCAGTTTTGAAATTTAGAAATTCAATTCAATAATATTTGTTTAAGAACTTAAGAACCTAATTTACTAAATTATTGATCAAAATTAAATTGTATATATCGATTTGGATGAATTGGATTGAATCAGAAGCACTTAGTAAGATATGTCTATTATCAAGAACCACACTGATGTTTAATTAAAAATCAAGAATTTCTTTTCCTAAAGAATTAATTAATAGCCAATGTAATTAAGAATAAAAAATTAATCAAGATTTTGATTCATACTATCTGTCGTAATGGATTTAAATGTTGAAATCAACAATAAGACAACAAATTTCATTTGAAATTGGATCACTAAAGGGATAAAAAAGAATTCTAAGTTTTTTCATATATAGAAATTGAACATAATACTTTAATTAAGCGAAAACAATATATTGTTCCAATAATTGATCAACATTGCAGCTTGGCACTAGAGGACTGTCGCCATCGTCACTATCGTATCCGACATCGTCATCTTCGCCGCTATCATCATCCTCATTGTCATCGTCACCATTGCAATTTTTGCCACCCTCACTATCGTCGCAATTATCCAACACATCCATTAAATAATCAGTAACAAAGTTGTCATTTGCCTCAAAGCTTGTCGTCTCATGTTCCTTAGCTCCGGTCACATGCGCGGTCACCGCCGCATCAACATTGTTGGTGGAGGAGCTATTATTATCATCATTATTGGTAATTGGAAGATAATTACCATTAACATTAATGTTGCTCAAATCATCCTCAAACATATTTTCAATATCTGCTAGAGTAAAAAAATCATAATTATTGCCTGATTGGGGAATCGGATCAATTACTGTAGAGGTGCAATTACTAGCAACATGCTCATGCTCCAAAGACTTCAACAAGTCTGGCATTAAATGCTCAAGATCAACAAATATATCATCATCGAGATAACCCTCGTCCTTTTGCTCCATCGACTTTGATTTCCTCTTTTTGTTGATCGAAGACTTTGATGGAAACGACATTGGCTTCGTCAAATTTTTGGACTGTTCATCACTTTCTCTCAGGTTTTCTGACTTTTTCACCATTGTGAGAGAATGCTTTTATTTCTAATGGAACACAAAGCCCTAGCTACTCTTAGAAGATCCTTGAAAAGCTTTGCAAAGCACACAATGGTCTAGACAGTGCAGGATATATATAAGGAAAATCTCATCTTTCCTAATGAGACATGGCTTTACCGGTGTTTGTTTTTCTCAAAATAAAAAAACAAAAACAAAAGATGATATGGTGTTATTATAACCAATGAATGAATTAATTAATTGGATTAAGACGTTGCTAATATACACCACGGGATCCATAGCAAAGAAAAAACTATGATCCTTTTGCTGATAATGATACAAATCCATAGTGGGCTCCCTGACCTGATATGACAAAAACATAACATAAACTACTTCATTGGGGTGGGTGGGTACAGAAATTAAGGTTACACTGAATTTGCTATCCCATTTCTTGTGACCTCTAATTGGAAATATGCTTATTTGGGCGCCACAATCACCGGCGCCGGGAAGAAGAATTGTGCTCATGGGCCTTAATATCATTCCGTATCCGGTCAGCATACATGGGTAGCCGGACAATCTGATCTATCTCCTTCAACAAAACTTCCTCTGTGATATTATCCTTTATGCTTCGCATTACCTGTTTCAGATGAGAAACACAGCCTTCATTAATTAGTCCAAAACAAACACACGTTTTAGAGAAAAGAGAAAAGAGAAAAGAAAATACCTTCTTATAGGTATTGAACTCATTTGGGGTTGATTTGTCTGGCCTAGTCCGCATGCACACCCATACATTTCCCTCCGCATCCCAGGAGCACTCAATAATTTTCCCTGAACAAAGAGCAGGGTCGAGCTCATCTGCAGGTTGGATTTCGGAATATCACGGTATTAGATTCCGAGCTAAGTTAAAATTAAATCAATACAATCAGGTGCCTACAAATTCTTGATCATAACTTGTCAACATAAATATGAGGGTAAATATGAAACGAATATATAAGTATCAAAATGCGACCTTTAAAAACCACCCTGTAGCCTCCCATTAGCTTCTTCTTTCCACGCTCATTCAGAAAAAGTAGCTCCCGACCATCAACTCCTAACTGTCAACACAGAAACTATTTTTAGGTTATCATCATCGTATAAGTTCACAGAGAAGAGAGTTAAACAGAACACTGTAATTTGCAGCAAATGAAACTAAATTAAAATTAAGACGTGTTACAGTCTGAAAGGAAAAGCCATCATACAACCTCAAAGAGAAAATCAACTGAATTCAGTTCAGGAAATTTCCACTTCAAAAGACCTTCATGTGTGCGGGGTACATATGGATCATCCCAGCCCTGAAAAAGACGGATCATCAGCACATAATGAAGTATAGGACGATATAACCACATAATGAACTTGCTCACTGTGAAGGGCTCCAAAATCTTAATCACCTGGAATATCAGACCATCAGATGCATGTGAAAGCCCAGGAATGAATTTCCTCAAAAGTTTCGTAACAGTAGATAGTAACCAAAAACCCTTCCTCCTCACCTGATGAACATCTATAACAAAGTAAAACACCAACCATGACAGAATATGCAACTATAAACATTAATGGTTAAAGGAAATCAAAACATTTAGTGTAATCTTTGATTGTTGAGATACATACACTGAATGGTTCCAAGTCATATCTGTAATAAGGCTCTGGACTTTTGGAAAGAGTATCACGTTCCATATTTCGAGGCTCAATCACTTCTTTTTCAAGCATTTTCCACCGTTCATGGAATGGCAACTGGACCATTTTTAGATATCAACTTATTAATAAATTGAAGTATTTTATAATGAATTCATTATAAGTCTAATAAAAGATGACACGTTGTGATATCAATAGTGAGGGTCAAAAGAAGGAAACCTAAGCAGAAAACATTATACTTGACAAAACACGAGGATAGTCCATCTTAGGGAGAGGGAATATGCATATGTGACTGGCATTTGAAGCAGAAAAATCTGCTCCATAATGTTTCTCCACCCTTAGAAAAATTGGCTGAAGAACAAGCGTCAATAGGTAATCCTTGGATCAAATGTTTGGAGCTATAGTGTCACAGAAAGGATATGAACTACCAACATTCGAAACATTAGTTTAGAACCTATAAACCTGCTCAGTATGCTCACACACAGAACAAGAAGAAATCTATGTTAATACACAAGCAGCAAATTTATGTGAAGCCTACTGCTATTGGAAACTACATCATAAGAGGCTGCCAGCAACACGGAGATTGGAAAATAAACCATCCAAAAAAAAAGGTGGGGGTGGAGGGGGAACAGGAACTATCAAGATAGATTCCCATGGCATTATCATATATCTAACCTCTGTGAGAGAGAGTTGGTTGATTGCCATGACGTCATAAATGAGGTATCTTCTCTCTTGCTTATGAGTATTTGGGTCGGTGTCAATTATCATCTCTCCATCAAGTAATGTGAAGTGGTGAGTCTTCTCAGGTATAACCTTCAAAAAATGATTACAAATGAATCATCTATGGAAAGACTTCACATCAAACTAAGCGAGTTCCATGTGTCAGAACTCAAAACTGTAAGCACATACACACCTTATTTGAGAATTTGCAAGGAAAACGCATCTGGACCCTTCGGAAACAAAATTTCCTATCAATCAAGTAACAGCCGTCCCAAGTAATTAGCATCATATAACGTGTTCCATCAGCTTTCCATGTGGCATAGTAATAGCGTTGCCTTAATAATTGTTGGTTGTCCCTACAGAGAATATAATGATATGCAAACTTTAGTGTTGTATGAACCATAAACCAAGTACCTTTAAATATGATGATACTATAATATTAATGAATAACAACCCTTTCATTTATTTATTTGGAGAAAAGGAAACCAATATCAGACAAAAATCTCTGAAACAATCAGACTCCAGCCTGAACCACCTAAGAAGTAAAATCTTGGAATTACTCATCAAAATGGTTTTTTTCTTCACTTTGAAAGGATGAAGCAACATAAGCTGTATCAGCAAAAAATACTTCCACCCATTTCATTTAAGGTATTATTCACAACAAAACCATAGCATGTGGAAACAGCTTAGCAAAGTTATATGCCAAAATTAGAACAACTGAATTTATAACACACAAAGGAAAACTGGATGTCCACTCATTGAAAAAGAATTTGATGAAATTGATTAAGGAACTTCCTAATTACAAACTGAAAGTATCCAATTGTACATTTAGTCCATTTTAATACATTACTGATCTGAAAAAGCCACCATCAGTTTATAATGCTTAAAAAAACTGTGTCCGAACCAGTAGAAGTACATAATTGTCATTGATATGGCTATCGTTAAATCAAACCTGTTGAGCGAAACAGGATGCGACCCTGGAAATTGTAAATTCCCTCTACCCTGAGGACATAGCCAGAAATAAATTAATCAGAATATAATGACAGCAACATCATGAAGAAGGAGAAGTAATAAAATATTGACATTGCATCTTAATATACAAAGCACAACTCAAAGCACTAGATTTGAGTGCCTACCCCTACACCCAACTTTAGTGCATGATAACAGGCTTCTTGCATCGTTTTTTGCTGGTCAAAAGGTATTGGTTCACCCAAAACATCATCAATTGTCATTGCTTCATTTCTCACGTGATTTTCCTAATGCATTCAAAAGAAGAAAAGTTAGATAAAGAGGAAAAATCTACTTTCAGTAACGATCAAGCCAAAGGCAAAGGTGCAATTTGAATTTCGTCATTAAAAAAAATGGATATCACAATCACGGTTTCCAAACACATGATCTCACATATAAGCATTTCAACTGGGAAGTGGTTTGACAGCCAAACAGGTCGGGCATCCAGTTAGGTACTTAAACAAGACAAAAGGCACTGCTGAAAGCAGACATTAAACAGGATTAACTAATTTCAAACAATACATACATTGTCCTGATACATCGCAGCTCCTGCCTTGTCATCAAGATCAGAACATCTCTTCCACTCTGGAGTTTGAGGGCAAACAACTGATTCCGGCTTTCTTTCATGATAAAACATGTAAAGTTCATCAATATAGTCCTGTTTATATATTCCTGGATGCCGTGCCTTGGCAAATTTATTTATTGCCTGCAGAATGGTCAGTCCCAAAAAAGTGATGAATGTTTCTTGGATCATGGAATAGATTCAATCAGAACCCAAATGACTACCACAGAACTAATTACTTACCTCGGTAACAGAAATTGATTCGTTACGCACAAGAAAATGAACAATCATGAAACCGGTGCGGTTATGCCCATGTGTACAGTGGACAAGTATACACTCCGTTGGGTCAGTTCTATTGGAGAAAAATTGTGATACCTATTAAAAATCACAAAATCAGCGACATATTTGTTCTTTTTATAAACTCATTACCAAACAATGATGCGACATGAATTCAAGAGAAGAAAAAAGCATTCAACTTTCTATTGGGTCCTGTGAATTTTTCATAAAACTAGCATAGAGACAGTTTACCTCATAGAGAAATTTATCTACAGATACATTATCAGGTACGGAATCCCTTCCTCTGCATTGTATCTGGCGCAGACAAATTTGAGGACATCAGTAAAAAATATAAACCTTACTAACTAGGAACAGAACACAAACACACTTGCCTTAACATGACGAATGCCTTCTTTTGTCCAATCCGAAACGGGATAGTAACGAGTAGTGTTTGTTAAATCAATCACTAAACCAAGCTGGAAAATGAAAATCAGTCAGCATAACAACATCATACAATCTAAAGTATAGTACTTCAAGAAAAAAGGAATTACTTCTCTTCCTAGAAGTCTTTGTTGATGAATGACTTGCTTTGGAGTGTATGTTTCACCACGAATATGATCCTTGAAAGACTCACCAAGCGGTACTTTTGAAGGAATTATACAACTTATTTCTTCACCATAAGCAGGGCAACCCACCCAACCTAATAGCACAAGAACAAACCCATTAGCTTGTAATCAAATATTATTGATTTCTAACCACCGATTAGACTAATAATCAGTGTTAGCATTACCTACCTTCAGGAAGCATGTGTCTATCAAAAGCTTGATGGTTCCTACTTTGAAACCCAGAATCCTGATTTGGGTTCTTTCTTTTCAAGCCCAAGCGTCTTTCTTCTCCATCCTAATAAGGAATTAAGCACCACCCAACAAAGGCAACAGTTAATAAATCAAAATGACATAATTAACAAAATCCCAATTATGTTTTGGATAAATATATATATTTTATTTTTTATTTTTTTTCATTTTTTGGATTGAGATTTTAAAGATAAGCATAGGATAGGAGTGATATGGATCTATGTATGTACCATTGACTTGGATTCTTCAATCTGCTGAATCGATGAGACTCAAAGAGTCTAGGGTTTTAGGTTTGGATGGATCAGACTGACTTCAGAGAGACATTAGACAAGTTGAGAGAGAGAGAGAGAGAGAGAGAGAGCCAACAAACAAACTAACGGTTCGATGAAAACGCTTCTTCGTTTATATACCTTAAGGAACCGCCAGCGACTATGTTTAGTTGTTTGCTTTCTACACCGGCCCTGTCCTGTCCCCCACCCCCACCCAACTTCTCTAATTTCTGATTTTTTGCCCTTTTTCTTTTTGGGGATAGGCTCTAATTTTCTGTTCATACATATTGTTTTGTGAAAGATCCTATAGTTTAACCCTCTTCCCAACAAAATTTCATTAGAAACAAAAAAAAATGGTTTTAAACCATTTCTTTCTTCTTTGTTACCAATTCAACAAAAATCAATGGCATCTTCTAATAGACCAATACCAGAAATTAAATTATAGTCATTGTAGTATAACTACTTTCAAAAAATTCATAAACTTTGCTTCTACCAATTGATTAAGCATAAAGGTTTGAGATGGATACTAAAACTATCATATATGATGTTTGGGAAAATGGTGAAGTGGTAAATTGCATTTCTAAATTTGGGGAAGGGAAGGATTTTGTGCCCACAAAGCAACTAGTTAGCCAAGAAGGAATTATGTCATGTTTGAGTTGCTAGAGTTGTCTTCTTTTATTCATACACCCCTGTAAATTAATATCCTCTAATCCATATTGTAGTATAATTAAGGAGGCAAAAAAACAAAAACAAAAAACCATATTTCTTTGAGATACTAAGGTGAAAAATAGTATCATGTCAAAATGACCTTTCATATTTGGCCAAATTGCACAAGTCATTGATGTTGTGTCCGTCATATGTCAATGTTACTTATGCAGTGAAAAACAATTGTAATAATACACTTGTGGTTAATTTAGTTGCAAATCTTAATTCAAATCCAACATTCAATAAAAAGTACGTTAAATTTTTGTGTGTATGCGTGTCACTGTGATGTGTAAGGATTAAAAAGTATCATATTTAATGATTAAAGCTCATTTGACTGATAAATCATGCTTACAAGAACTTTTACCCTTGTAAATGACACACACATTGGTTCGAATTGAAGGGTAATGTGATAGAAAATTTTGATTTGGATGGAGATTAGTTCTTTCTTTGAGATACTAAGGTGAAAAATAGTATCATGTCAAAATGACCTTTCATATTTGGCCAAGTTGCACAAGTCATTGTTGTGGTGTCGGTCATATGTCAATGTTACTTATGCAGTGAAAAACAATTGTAATAATACACTTGTGGTTAATTTAGTTGCAAATCTTAATTCAAATCCAACATTCAAGAAAAAGTACGTTAAATTTTTGTATGTATGCGTGTCACTGTGATGTGTAAGGATTAAAAAGTATCATATTTCATGATTAAAGCTCATTTGACTGAGAAATCATGCTTACAAGAACTTTTACCCTTGTAAATGACACACACATTGGTTCGAATTGAAGGGTAATGTGATAGAAAATTTTGATTTGGATGGAGATTAGTTACAATATTAACTATAACCACAAGGGTTTTATTACGAGTTTTGTTCACCTCAAAGTATCTTGGGCTTAACCTTAATGGGCTGATTAAAGATTAGACACATTTTGTATGCGATTCCATTTAAGCCCAGCTCGCGGTATAGTGAGTCGGCAACTCATAAAACGACAACGTATTCTACTACGGCGGTAGGATTCCGGAAGGGCGTTTAAGTAATTTTGCCGTCGTTTACTAAGAGACCTCCTCACCAGCCCGAGCCCTAAAGTTAATTTCATTCTGTGCGGCACAGACAAGATCCCCCACTCTCCCGCTTCGTTTTCAGTTACGCTTCAAAACCCTAAGCCCTAGCTGTCGTCTATCTATCAACAATGAAGCTCGTCAGGTTAGTCTTCCTCTCTCTCTTCCTCCAATTCTTCTTCTTCCTCAGTTAACAGCGATGCAAATTTTGTGCTGGTACAAAAGTAAAAATGGAAATTGAAAATATGCAGGTTCTTGATGAAGTTGAACAACGAGACAGTGTCGATCGAGCTCAAGAACGGCACCGTTGTCAACGGCACCATTACAGGTATTTCTGTGTTCCTCTCTTACTCCTTTCTTTCTAAAATGATATGAAAAGTGAAGCTTTTACATAATAGGGTTTAATTAAACCCTAGGTTTGTGCTACCCTTTTATAGCTTATAAAGCAACTGTACTAGTTTTTGTGTAGCTTAGAATGTGATTATTGTGTTTATAGCAGAAGTGGGTCTTACCTTAAATTTAATGTTAGATTCTTGTCAGTTATACTGCATAAGACGAATTTAGTGAAAAATGTAGTAATTATATTGTTGGTTTCTCTTTGTGGGGCATCTCCATGGGTTGTCTTAGGACACTCAACTCTTCCCACAATTAACTCAGATTGGAGTGTTGTTTCCCTCTGGGGGTTTATAGAACTAAGTTTTTGCTCATCCGGCTCTGCCAATTCGTATAAATTGACCATGTAGAAGCATCAGCAGAGCATGGATACCAGTTTAGAGTCTACTAAGATGCAATTGACAAAGTTTTAGGACTTGTAATGGCTTGTTATAAGTTTGTTCTGTACATTACATATGCTCTGTCATCATAGATTGCTCAGTGGTTATAATTTATTTTTATGTGCATAGAGTACTTGCGAACCAGGATAAGTCTAAGTATCTAGAATACTGGAAGATTTGAATGGTTTCCTTACTTATGGTGTTGGGCACATAACATCTTTGTGAGTTCAGGCTTGTTTAAGAGAATTGTTACTGATTTCAATTACTGCATATATGCTCATTTTCTGGCAGCTGTATCATTTTGATTTCTTTGTAGAGGGAATTTCCTTGGAAATTCTGATCCTTTTATGATGTGAACAAACATGTGTCTAACAAATGTTGTATACTTTGAGATGCTTCTGTTTTCCTTTCAAAGTTTTGACCCAGAGTCAGAGCTTATGAATTTGCTCAACATTGGATTTTCAAGAGTTGGGATGTAGTTGTGGTTTATCTCTAAACCATGGATATCGTTTTTCAGCACATAATCTGCTTGAGCCCCCTGATTACTTCTATGTATTACGTGATAATCAATTCCTTAACTGCGCATAGGCTACAGAGCATCAGCAGAACTTTCGAGTCCTAATTTTGGAATGGGAAGAAGATGCTTTTTAGTTTGATCCTCTAGTAAAAGACAAAAAAAATCTTATGGTGGTTTCTTTACTGGTAAACCTAGTGTTACAAATATTACACAAAATTTTATGAGAAAATGATTTGTTCATATGTTTAACGTTTGTTTTCTTCAAAAATTTATGTTTTCAATTTGTTTGTTTGTAATGACTCAATGAGAGATTTGACCCTGCTTTACATGCATCACTAACACAAATGTTTCTGTAGAACAGCTCATTTTTTATTAATACTCTCCAAAGGAGATTCTTGTGTTATGTAATAGCATCCGGTAATGGTTGAAGAAGCTTCAGCTCTTTGTGACTGGATTGCCTTGTGGAGAGAAATGAAGAGTCTATGATTTTTTTAACTTTTAACTTATTACATAAATTAAATCTTGATTTTGTTGCACACTTTGATTTGCCTTGTGTCCAACTAACTTGATAGGGGAGAAAAGTAGCTGTTCTGTCTGACTGGTAACTTCTTGTACAGGTGTGGATATCAGTATGAATACACATTTGAAGACAGTGAAACTTACGCTGAAGGGGAAGAACCCAGTGACTCTGGATCATCTCAGCGTGAGGGGAAACAATATTCGATACTATATCCTCCCAGATAGTTTGAATCTTGAGACTTTGCTAGTTGAAGAGACACCTAGGGTCAAGCCCAAGAAGCCAACTGCAGGTACTGCAACTTGTATTGGGCGTAGATATAATTATCATTTTTAAATCGTACCTATTTTTCTTGATTTACCCAGTGCTATCTCGCAGGTCACTGTCATAAATCTTCTACTCATTATTTCCTGTCTTTGTTTTTTCAATTTCAGGGAGACCCGTGGGCCGTGGACGTGGGCGCGGTCGTGGTCGGGGACGTGGGCGTGGCCGTTAAAGATGTCGCACTGGTTATAATTTTTGTGGCACCTGGTTATGTAAACACCTTTGTTGTAGGAAGAACTTATCGGTGATCTTGGAGACGTTAAATGAGTTTCGGTATTGCACTTTTATTCGTTGTCTATCCCCAGTGAAACTCCCAAAATGTTATTAAGAAGTTGGTAATCGATATGCTTTTGACATCTCATATACAGTTCTCCATTTTCATTTTGGGTGTTGAGGCACCAAAATTAGCGCTCCCTATTCTTGTTGATGCTTTTGAAAGTTGTAGTTTTCATCTCTTATTAGGTGATATAGCTAGCTAATAGCTTGGATCTTGACAAGGAGTTGCCGCCATGCTGTATTGTTCTTCGTTGCATCGGAATTTGATTGAAGTTTGCATGAGACATGTTTAGTTGTTGCTTAGCTTTTAGATCTTAAATCACCTGTACCGACATTGTCATCCCCGACATGGCCTTGCCATGCCATGTCAACCAGATGAATCTTTTTCATGAGATTTCATTATAATATGTTGATGAAGGAATTTGCGTAAATTGAGCAAAAAAAGCTTGTTGGGCGTGATTGTACAATTAACTTTAATTTTCGAGTTGAATAATTGGGCGTGATTAGTTTTTAATATTTTTGTTGTTGAATTGGATACAAATACAAAAACTTTGATTTGAGTTGAGTTGGATACAATTCAAACAAACGCTTGTATAAGCGTAGAGTAAGCGGGTTGGTCCAAAGTGTCCAAAAAGCAGCTTTCTTATCCGGGTTTCTGATTCCCTAGTGGCCAAAGAGGGGCAAACCCAGACGGTGACGGGACGTAAACCCAAACCCAACCAAACCGTAGCATATATAACGCTGCACCTCTCCAAGGCAAGGCAAGGCAAGACGCGTAGAGAATTGAGAAATTTTTGAGAATTTTGAAATCCGTCAAACTTTGTCAAGTAGAAGAAGGCAAAGGAAGGAAGGTAGAGAAAGAGATGGGGAAGCCGACGGCTACGCAGCAAGCGATGGTGGTGTTCGGAGCCCTAGCGGTTGGATGGCTAGCCATAGAGATGGCCTTCAAGCCCTGGCTTGACAAGGCTCGTGCCGCCATGGACAAGTCTGACCCTGCTCGCGACCCCGACGAAGATGCCGTCGTCAAGGCTGCCGAGACCGCCGCAGATGAATGAGCCATTAACTCTTCTAAGGTAGTAAACTCGGAAACACTACTCTATCTACTACTACACCAATAGGCAATAACAATAATGGAGTTTTGAAATTGTAGGTTCTTTAATTAATTAAATTTCAACAACTTTCTTATTGTGTGATTGTTGCAATGGAGGACATTACTGGCTAGTGAAATTTGTGATCTCTCTCTGTCTCTGCTCTAATGAAACTATTTTGTTCTTTCGATTGAGTTCAACCCTGAAAACTTTTGGAATTAGAGAATTAGAGCCCGTCTGGTAACGTTTTCGGAGAGTGTTTTCAGAGAATATTTTCAGAGAATGAAAACAAGAAAACAAATTTGCATTTTCAGGAAATGAAAATGCGTCTGGTAGATTAATTAGAAAACATCTTCAGAAAACAAAAACAATGAAAACGTGTCTGGTAGTACAATTGTTTTTCAGGTGTATTTTTTATAATTCTGATATTTTTAGAGGCTAAAATTATTATTATAAACAATGAAAAAAATTAAAGCTAAAAAACTATTTTATCTCCTTTCTTTTTTCTTTTCTTTTTTTCTTCTTTTTCTCCTTTTCTCTCTTTCCTCCTCTTTTCTTCTTCTTTTCCTTCGCACGACTGTTTCTTTTTTTCTTCATCTTTTCTTCTTTCTTCCTCATTTCTTCTTCCTTTCCTTCCCAAGGCCATTTCTTTTTTCTCATTTTCTTCCTCTTTTCTTCTTCCTTTCCTTCCCAGGCCGCACCCACTCCTCCTTCCTTCCATGGCATGAATCTCATACACCCACCCATCTCTCTCTCTCTCTCTCTCTCTCTCTCTCTCTCTCTCTCTGATTTTAGATTTTAGATTTTAGATTTCAGATTTGTTTGATGCAAGTGCAGAGCATGAATCCTCATACGAAAACAAGAGGAGATCTAGACTGTTCTAGAAACCCCTTGTTTTGGGTTTTTTGGGCTCACTTGATTGGTGTCTGTTGGTTGGGGTCTTAGCCTGTTATTTATGACTATTGGCCGCGTTTTTGGAAGAGATGGTCCAGGCCTATATCACTTACTCTTCTATTCATTAAGCCCATTAAAAACTGGAGCCCGCCTTTCTTCTGTGGGTTGGGTTGGGGAAACGCTCAACAATGATTTGTCTAACCGAGTCATTCTATAGTGAGGGCCTTATATTAAAGCCCTTAGATGAGATCCTATCTTTTAACCGTTTGATTCAATTAACCAATTTGATTCAATAATTAAGAGATACGGCCTAATCTTAGATGAGACCCTCCACTATAGAATTCTACTTGTCTAACTGGCTTGGATTGAACCGAAATTGAGTCCAAACTAGTCCTTATGAGTCTCATTCCTCTAGATGGGACTTGTAAGACTTAATATGTCATATTATTGTCCAATTTAATAAGTCCAGTTTTAATACACCTAATAATGGTAAGAAATTGTTGCATATTTTAATTGAAATAGTCAAGTTCAATCCCACTTGCTAAACGTGATGTATACGCATGAAGAACTAGTCCTTACGAGTCTCATTCCTCTAAGTGGGACTTGAAAGACTTGATATGTCATATTATTGTCCAATTTAATAAGTCTAGTTTTAGTACACCTAATAATGGTCAGAGATTATTGCGTATTTTAATTGAAATAGTCAAGTTCAATCCCACTTCCTAAACGTGATGTATACGCATGAGGAACAGTTATTGAAACTCCTAATTTATGGAGCAAGTGCAATTTCAATTTGTACCCAAGAGGTCGGTTTTATTCAAGTGCTAATAACAACTCTCGTTATTCCGCTAGTCACCAAAGGAATTAAAACCTAGAAATGTTGAGAAGCTACATCTCCATGACCATGATCCCCGTAACCCTCCAATCTGGTAGACATTAGGGCACGAGGACAAAAGAGCACTAGGTTGTAGTGTACCCACGACTACAAAGCACATTCGTACACAATCACCAAATGCCTTCAAAGAAAGCTAAAGAAGAAATTGAGTTGGGCGCTGCGCAACCACAATTGTGGTGATAGGATGGGATGGATGGGAGTATGCTCTCTCAGTCTCAGTCAAATCCTTGCCATGTCCTTATCCAATCTCCACCAGCTCTCCTATTTAATATTCACTTTTATCCACGTGGTGAGCCTACAGCCTTCGACCCCACCAATTGTTGGTGAGCTTGCATGCAATGCAACCTCTCCCTTTCATGCCAATTTCAATTTTCAACCCCCACCTTTTAAACAATTTTCTTCACCTCGATTATGTCTATGCTCATTGCTTCCTTATCCTTTTTCATTTCTAGTGATTTCTAAATTCAACGTCATTACAACTCAGATCTCACCAATTAATCAACCTATTTATGAAAGCAATTAGTCACCTAAATTCGAGTTATAGGGTTTGCGACTTATATCATCCTATATGTTTGACCCAAAAAAAATGATTATTCACATTAACCTAACCTATGTGTATTTATTTAACAACATATTCCTTCCCATCTATCTAGATGCGGGGCGTTACCACCTATTGCTATAAGGTTTAATTAGTTAAGGTATTTTTTTAAATTTATTTTTGGAAATACCTTTAACAAATTGATAAATGTTACGAAAAAAGAATCGAACACCCCTATTGCTATAAGGTTTAATTAGTTAAGGTATTTTTTTAAATTTATTTTTGGAAATACCTTTAACAAATTGATAAATGTTACGAAAAAAGAATCGAACACCCCTATTGCTATAAGGTTTAATTAGTTAAGGTATTTTTTTAAATTTATTTTTGGAAATACCTTTAACAAATTGATAAATGTTACGAAAAAAGAATCGAACACCCCTATTGCTATAAGGTTTAATTAGTTAAGGTATTTTTTTAAATTCATTTTTGGAAATACCTTTAACAAATTGATAAATGTTACGAAAAAAGAATCGAACTTGAATGCAAAGGACGGACAGACTCTTTCTGACTCACTTATGCTTCAGTGGCTCACACTTCAACTTTCATGATATGATATTTTAACAATTTCTTATTATAAAAAATAAAAAAGGCAATTCAACACAGAGAGGTTAGGGGTAGGTATAAATGAAGGTATGGTTGGTCCAATAAATTTATGCGATGAGGTGGCAAAACTTGGCCGGTTAATGGAAGTGAACTGGATCGCATGATAGGAGAGAGAGGGAGAGAGAGAGAGAGAGAGAGAGCCAAAATCCCATATCTTGTAGTTTCGTTTCGTGTCAAACGTAAAGAAAAGGAACACGGTGAGCCAGTAACCTTCCCCAAAAACAAATGGAAAGTGACCCGCGAACCTGTCCCTTTGATTAACAAGATATTATTATCGGATTTGCCATCGTCTTCTGCCATCTGGGTTCTTTTTAGCTTCATGCTTCTCTCATTGGAAATCTCAAAAAGGTCAAAGCCTGCCCTTGTGTTGTGTTGAAGCTTCTTTGTTTTGTTGTTCGTGTGAGCTCAGGGCTTATCATCAATGAGGTTAGCAACACCAAACCCAATTCTTATTTTCTCAGTTTCTTCATGCTGATTATGCAAAGCCTTCGTTTCTGGTTTGTGTTTATGTGGGAATTTGGTTCGTGTTTGTCATTTTGATTTGGGTGAGTTTGAAATTTGGTGTCTTTATGTATTTATTAAGCATTTAGCCCTTTTATCACTCGAGTTTGGTGCCCATCTCAATCTTATTTTCCCATTTCTCTCTAGCTGGTTGTGTGTTTTCTTAAGTAGCGTTTGCAGTTTTCTCTTTTGCCATGGATTATATTGGAATCTTATTTTCTTTGTTTGAAGAGAAAATTGTCATCTTTGAACGAACAGGAAAGGGAATTTGCCCATAACATGTTTTACTTGTCACAAGTTGGTACTCGGAAGGACAAAGCTGTTTTTTCCCCTTAATTATTTCCACTTTATCCACCTTATCCACCTTGTCCACCTTTTAATTGAATTTGGTCTTTACTATTTGTACTATTTGATCCATTATTTCCTTTAGAATTGAATTACCTTTTAATTGAATTTGGTCTTCAATATTTGTACTATTTGATCCATTATTATTTTTAGAATTCAATTATAGAATGAAGTACATGTCTCATGTTTCGGAGGCTGTGATCAATTATGGTGTATGGTTATCTATGCTGTCGGCTTTTTAAATTTTCATTGCTCTGTTTTCTTTTGTGTTTTTTTACCTGCCTCAATGCTTTTGAATTTGTATTTAGTGTTACCAATTTCTGAAGCCTGTCCTTGTGTCTAACAGGACAAATCACATTACATGATCTTGATACTTGCTTGTATCATGCGTCGTGGATTTGTTAAAAACTAAAAAACAGAAATGTTCTTGCCAATTTAGTGAATGCATACTTGCAT